TCCTTTTCTGATATTATTATATTTATTATTTTTTTAAACGTAACCGCCCTTGAATCCGGGCACGGTTTTATGTATCAAATCATATCTTTTCATTTATTCTTCTGCGATCTTCAATTAATTTGACTGCATGGTAGCCTTTAATTCCTTTAGACGCTGTTTTAGTTCTCAACTGACGCTTCGATTTCTTCCCTCTTCTTTATATATTCATGTCGATGGTAGTTCCTTCTCATCTCGTTTCCTTTGGTGACTTCATCCCTTATTCCTTTTTTTCAAGCCTTATCACGCTATGTCTGAAGAAGTAAACGGTTCTCCCATAACTTTTATGGAGATCTCCTCCAATCACTCTGGAGATTCTTCATCTTCTTCCTCCTCTCTGTCTTCTGTTTCGACCTCTCCGGCTGCCCATAACCTTTCACTGGTCGACGGAGGAGAGCCTTCGTCCACTCGCCTTCCCCGCTATGTTGCTCCTCCGTTGAGATTCGAACTTCGGAGAGCCAAAGAGAAAACCCTTTGACTGAAAGGGGAAGTTGCGCGACTCGTAAATGAACTGCAGGAGTCAACAGTCACATCTGTGAGGTACGAGTTTGCATGCTAGGCCCTGATGGAGGAGAAGAAGAGTTGGGAGAAAGAAAAACTGGTCCTCGAGGAGGAGAGTCGCGCCATGAAACGTCGTATTACCTTCTTGGAGCGGCAGCTGTCTATGGAGAAGAAGCGCAAACGAAGCTAGTCGCCTTTTCGTTCTTTTATTTTTGAACTATTTGTTTTTGTCCCTCCCTTTTTGTTGATTGTAATCCGAATATATCGGTTTATCAAGAATAGTTTGTTGCAAATGGGTGAATCTCCCTTTTTTTTAGTTCACTTGAATCAGATTCATTGACTTACAACTGTTTATTTGTAGATCGAATCACTCGTATAATGGAATCAAGATAAGAATCTATACGTACTACAACATCAATATAACATTAGATCAATCTTACTAATCTAAAACATAAAACCAATGTTACACTCCTGACAGCCCCTAATTTTAAGTTAGGGTGGTAGGACGCTGACTTAAATTACAGACATCACTAATAATATACTTTGAGATGTTCTGCATTAGATGGATGTGCTAGTTGTCTTCCGTTTAAGTCTATCAAATGATATGTGTCGGGCCGAACGACACTTTTAATCTTCTACGGACCAGTCCAGTTTGGCTCTAAAGCCCCAGTTTTCTAAAGGACTTTCTTCAACACAAGGTCGTCGGGTTTAAAGCTTCTTTGCTTAACTCTGGCGTTATAATACCTCACCATCCTATTTTGGTACTCAGCATTTCTCAGTTGTGCATCTCTTCTTTTTTCCTCGAGAAGGTCCAGGCTTAAACACAACGCCTCAAAATTCTGGTCTTCATCAAATGACCGTGCGGTCCGTTCCGTTGATAATCCGATCTCAACCGGAACGACCGCTTCCATACCGAAAGCTAGTGAATATGGAGTTTGATTTGTTGAGCCCCTCGGTGTTGTTCGGTAAGACCATAATACTCCTGGGAGTTCTTCGGTCCAGTCACCCTTTAATTCCTCCAACCTCATTCCCTTGAAAATTTTATTGACTGCTTCCACCTGACCATTAGCTTGCAGATGGGCTGGTGAAGAAGTCAAGTGTTTTATTCCGAGGTTTTCACAAAAGCGATTAAATTTGTCGTTGTCGAATTGTTTCTCATTATCTGTCATTATAGCATTCGGAATTCCAAACCGACAAATTATACTGCATCAGACAATATTTCTCACCTTAGCTTCTGTTATAGTGGCCAAAGGTTCAGCTTCAACCCACTTAGTGAAGTGTGAAGTAATCGACGACAACAATCGTGAATCTCACTTGACCTTTGCCAGTTGGTAGCAGTCCAATAAGGTCAATTCCCCATTGGGAAAAGGGCTATGGGCTTGAGATCGATCACATTTGCGCACGAAGGTTTTCACATCTTTACTCATACTCGGCTAGTAGTATCCCTGCCGGATGATTTTCGACACTAGAGTTTGAGCCCCAGCGTGATCTCCACAAATTCCTTCATGTGTCTCTCGGATCACATAATCTGCTTCGTCTGGCGTAAGACACTGAAGTAGGGGTAAGGAATACCCGCGCTTGTACAACATTTCCCCTTGAAGGATATAGTGAGCAGCCTGGCGTCGCAACTTTCTTGTTCACTTTGATCGTCTGGTTGAATTCCTTTATGAAATTCAATGATTGGATCCATCCAACATCGAGGTCGAACTTCTACTGCACAATGTTTTTCTTGTTCGATAGAAGGTGAGATCAATACCTCAACCGGTACCGTGTGGCCAGATCGGTCTCAAATGCTGCCGCCAATTTCACCAGAGCATCCGCGTTGGAATTCTCGAACCTAGGAACTTGGCGAATCACAAAGTCTCTAAATTTAGCCAAATTTTCTTTTGCCTTCCTTAGATATTTTGGCCATTTTTTCATCTTTGGCTTGGAATTCTTCCATTATTTCTTATTAAGACCGAACTTACTGCAGAATTCGAAACTGCCAAGTATAGATATAGACAATCTTCATTCTCTAGTTTTGACAACAAGGGTGCCGAACTTAAATATTCTTTCAGTTTGAGAAAAGCTTGTTCACATTCTCGTGTACATTCGAACTTCCCTTTTGTCAGTAGGATTTTAAAGAATGGAAGATACTTATCGGTTGAGCGAGATACAAACCGATTTAATGCGGTTATTCGGCCGTTCAAGCATTGCAATTGTTTCATGTTCTTTGGAGATTCCATCTCTATCACGGCCTTAATTTTATCTGGGTTTGCTTCTATTCCTCTGCGATTGACCATAAATCCTAGGAATTTCCCTAAAGAAATCCCAAACACACATTTGGTTGGATTTAACTTCATTTGATAGTGGTTCAATACGCCAAAAGCTTCTTTCAGGTCGGCCACATATTGTTCGGCTATAAGGCTTTTAACCAACATATCGTCTACGTAGACCTCCATATTACGACCTATCTACTTGTTAAACATCATGTTAACTAACCATTGATATGTCGCCCCTGCATTTTTTAAACCAAAGGGCATTACTTTATAACAGTAGAGGCCCTGATCTGTTACAAAGGTCATATGTTTTTGGTCGGGTACATGCATTTTTATTTGGTTGTATCTTGAATACGCATCCATGAAGGTCAATAACTCGTGACCAGCTGTCGCATTGACAAGCTGGTCAATTCAGGGAAGTGGGAAGCTGTCTTTTAGACAAGCCTTATTTAAATTTGTGAAGTCGACGAACATTCTCCACTTCCCGTTTGTATTTTTTACCATTACAACATTGGAGAGCCATGCGAGGTAATAAACTTCTTTAATGAATTCAGTTTTGAGGAGTTTATTAACCTCCTCAGATATTACAGCAGTACGAGTCACATCGACAGGTCAACGTTTCTATTTAATAGGTTTACAATTTTGGTCTACATTCAATCTATGAGTTATCACGCTGGAATTTATTCTCGGCATGTCTTTATGGAACCATGCGAATACATCTACATTTTTTTGTAGAAAATTAACTAACTCTGCTCGTAATGGTGCTTTTATCCCCAATCCGATGCTGGCAACCTTCTCATCAGACCCTAACTTTATTTTCTCGAGCTTTTGCTTCGACGTTCCCCATCCAAGTTCACTGTTGAGCTTTTTGCCTAGTGTCACTTCGGATGATGTAGTTCTAATGACGACGACACAAGTCCGAGTACCTTTTAGTGCCGTTGCATAACATTCTCGTGAGGCCTTCTGTTCGCCTCTGATGATCCCTACGCCACAGGAGGTTGGATTCTTCCTCACCTGATGGTATGTGGAGGGGACAACCTATAGCTCGTGTATATATGGTCGTCCCAATATTGCGTTATATGCTGACGCACATCAACCACGACGAACACTATAACATTTCGAACTTTGTTGTCATTTTCTCCAATAGTGACCGGGATGTCAGTGCAACCTTCCACTGCGACCATTTCTCCTTAGAAGCCCACTAGGGGTGTTGGACATCGTTTCAATTGCGATTTCTCTCATCCTAGAGCAAGATATGTTGAAAGTGATAGTATGTTGGTGGATGCACCTCCATCAATGAGTACCCGTCGGACCTGCACATTATCAATTATAGGTGAGATCACCAAAGCGTCATTATGTGGTAGATGAACTCTGGTCAAGTCGTCTGCAGAAAAAGATATTGCGACTGTTGACAGAACATATGATGTATTGACTTTGTGACTAGTTTCTTGAATGAGGGTTTTCCTCTTATTGCCTAAATGTCCTCCACTTGGACCACAAAAAATGGTGTTTATCACTACAGGCCTTTTTCCAGCCGCTTCTCTTTTCTTTGGGTGAGGGAGATTTGTCTTGATCGTCACGATCTGTTCGGTTGAACTTTCTCTTCTCTTGAGAAGAACAGGAATCTTTCTTCCCAACATACTTTTTCAAATGACCTCGCCTGGTTAGGTTTTCTATCTGGTCTCTCAAGTCAAAGCACTACGAAGTATCATGTCCATGGTCTCTACGAAACCTGTAGTATTTGCTCTTACTTCGCTTATCCGTACTCGACTTCATTTTACCTGGCTTCTCCAACATCGTATGCAAATCGCTATTCTCGATGTTGGCCAGGATCTCTGATAAGGGAACATTGAGCGGGGTGTAATGGTCGAACTCCCTTAAATGACGATCATGAACTCATACCATTCGTTCTGGTCGAGATCGATTATCGTGGGTAGACCTCTTTGTCTCATAATTACGATTTGCATGACTTTTTTTCGACTGCGAGCTCTGCCTTTGAGCTTTTGCATGCCTAGATATTACGGTTTGATGTTGGAGATGTTTTGCGCGGAGTACATCTTCTGCATGCATATACTGACATGCTCGCTGGATCGCTTCGGCGTAAGTCCGGAGTATATCTTCTGCATGCATATACCGACATGCTCGCTGGATCGCTTCGGCATAAGTCCGGAGTACATCTTCTACATGCATATACTGACATGCACTATGTCGGGATTATTTATTGCCGAAGTGAAAGTCATCCTGGCTGCATAATCCGAGTAGTCTGAGACTTTAATTTTCTCTACCATAAATCTCCCGACGAAGTCACGTAGCGACTCGTCCTCCGATTGATAAATGGTGAGGAGATGTGTATTGGGAGTTTTTTTGTCATGCTGCGTCGAAAATTGGCTTATAAAGATCTTCCTCAACTATTTTCCAGGACCCGATGGTTTTAGGTTTCAATTGCCTGTACCAGGACCTAGCTTGGCCCTTCAAAGTGATGGAGAACGTCCTGCATTTCATTTCGTCTCCTGCAGCATTTAACTCCATCAAGCCTTCGTATAGGTCGATGTGATCAATCGGGTCGGTTGATCCATCGTACGATTTAATGTCGGGTTTCTTCATCTTTGGTGGGAGTGGATATGCCATTATGGGAGCCGTGAAAGGAGGATCCTCTCATTCACCCTGCTCTACCCAACTGGCATTATCAGTCTTACAGCTTTGCTTCAAAGCTTCAAAATCGTTATGAAGTTTACTGATTACCTCTTTCATGGAATCATTTACCTTCGGTACATGAACCGTGGCCTGATATGTCGAAGTTGTGGCAGTCGCCGCGGCTGGTGGCCGCTGAATTGTGTTCGAATTGGCCCCACCTGTTCCGGGGGTAGACCCCCAATTCGGTGTAGCTGGAGTTTGCTGACCAGCTTGCTGAGGTACATTACGCTCATTTGACGTCTGATGTAGGCCTAGGGCTTCCGCTGTAATATGCACCTGCAATCCTTCCCTTGGATCCATCATTGCGATTCGCCTTGCCCTTAAATTTTAGTCGCTCAT